CAACAACACAACAGCTGTATTAACCACGACACCAAGAGACTCTACCAACACCTCCCCTGCATCCACCACTACAACTTTGTCCTCCACGGCCAACACAAGCACAACGCTCACAGCTGGACCCACACCCACTCCACCTGCATCCAGCTCGCTCGCGCCAAGCACCTCCCCAGGCAGCAGCACCACACCCCCCACTGGGAATACCAGCACCCTTAGTCCCTCAACAGCAACCTCAGGAGGTAATACTATCAGCTTGTTGATGTATGTTCTTATAAATAATGTAGTCAAACATGTGAGGAACATGAGTAAACCTGCACAAGCAAATTTTATGTGTGAGGTGCGATCAAGAATTTCAGAATCTATTAAAAGCAAAAACTGCCTGCCATCCCCTAAGAAGTTGTCTTCTTGTGTAGCGATAACTGCTACCAGTGCTCCAGCCCCATTTGGAACATTTTTGTGGGACATGTGCTGAATCTCCTCCACTGTGTCAAAACCCTTACCTTGAATTTCACTTTGGGAAAGAGGAGGAAGTCGCAGAGAACCAAATCTGACATGTAATGCTAGGGCGAGAGTGACAGAGGTGTTGGTGCAGGTCAAAAAACTCATGTCTTTAACGTTAGCATCATGGCATAAGTAACAATTTGGTCATTTGTAGCGAATGTTCCCCCTCAGATGCTTCTGAACGCCAAAGGGGAAGTCTGCGTTAACATTCCAACCATAGGCGGAAGATTCACAGTGCACAACGCCATGAGTGTCAAATTAAAAAAAAAAAAAAAACAACGAGCATGCTTTTGGTCATGATGCTGGTTTGATGTGTCTTCTTTAGTTGTGGAGACTACGGTTCTTCCATGAAAGTTTCATCTCTGGGTTATAGCCATAGACTCAACATCACCAGTGATGATGTTCGACATCAGTTTGACACAGAATTTGATATTTTCTCTCAAGTTTGAGGTCCATGGCGAAACTACAAATGTGTAAATGATCAGGATTTCCAAGCAGCATGCCAAATGTGGCAGGAGCACTGGGAGCAGTGCACAAGAAGACTGCTTCATGGCCGATAGTGGCTTGATTTTTGCTCCTATACAATTGTTGCTTTCTTTAGACACAGTGTTGGATGTCATTTAATGCTCTGAGAACCAAATTTCAGGACAATCCATCCAATACTTCATGGGATAGCTTACTAAAAACAAAAAAAGAACTTCATAGTAGAGGATAAGTGATGTCTGTAAACTGACACAATACTAAAGTCTAGGCAGGCTGCCTTTTGTAATGAATTTACAGCTTTTCATTGACATAATTTGAGAATGAAGTCATTCATAAATTGTGTCTAACAATTGTACTTTGTGCAGCTTTATACAGGAATATGTATCTATTTAAAATAGCCATAATAACAGCTTTAGACATCTGTTTAAATGAATTTGGAGTGACTGGTTCTTGTTTTTGATGATACAGTGGCTGGCCTCACTACCCTACAACCCACCACTGTGACGCATTCAACTGAAGCTACCACTGCCACTGCCACTGCCACTGCCACATCAACGTCCAACACCACCACCCCTACCAGCACTGTCACCAGCAGCAACACAATAACAGCAGCCCCAGCACCCCCAGTCATAGGTTTGTACCTTTCTCTAAAGTATGTAATGTCTTTTTTGTGTGTGTGGTTGGTGTTCATAGGTTAATCCGAAAAATGTGACTGATTTGTTTGGATTTACAGTAACTTCTGCACAGACAAGGAACTATGTTGCAAGTGATGGTTGCTTTCATGCATTTTGTGCTAAGATGGTTCACCATGAGAAAACAGGAAAGACTTGTTGCGCTGACAGTTGAAATAGCTAAAAATCGATGAAATTTTATTGAATATAAAACCAAAGTGACAGAAGTGGACTCCCACAGGGCTCGAGACTGCATCCAAAAAGGTCCCATTTTCTTAGGAGAGTAAGAGCTCAAATTTCTCGTTGTTGTGGTCATGTGAGTGCATGATTAGTTTGTTTTGGTGCCATTTTAACTGTCATGAATAGCTCCTGCGTTAGCCATTGTGGTTAAAAGTAGTACTTTGTCCTCTTCACTGAGTCAGTCAGTCTGTCCCTACCTGGCACATGAAACATTTATCCATTTATCTTTTGCTGTAGTCTGTAAAAAAAAAAAAAAAAAACGGGACGAGGGAGGAGGAACCTGGTAGAGAGTTAAATGTCCAGTCTCTGACATATCTGATAAGGAGAGTGCAGGTGAGTGTAAGGACCAACTGAGCAAGTAAAGAAGAAGAAGTTAAACTGTTAGTCGAGGTGGCTAACATAGTGTCAGGGCTGAAAAACTACAACACAATCTGGCGTCCGACAATAACATGAAAATGACTGACTGTGACTGTAGTCAACTCCCCTCATAGAAAACATCCCATGTAGAAAAAAATCTTAAATTTGAACTTATTTCACTATTTCACATTCACACTCAGGTGGTAGACCGGTTGTCCTCTGATCACAAGGTTGGCGGTTTGATTCCCGGCCCCTCCACAGTTAGTGTCCTTGGGGAAGACACTGAAACCGATGTTGCTCCCAATGGCAGGCAGCACTTTGCATGGCAGCTCTGTCGCCATTGGTATATGAATGTGTGTGTGAATGACAAAACATTGTAAAGTGCTTTGAGTAACACCAAGGTAGAAAAGCATTGTATAAGTGGAGACCATTACTGAGTGGAGGCAAAAAGCTTCTCTGTGCACAGCCACCTAACTGCCGTTACCTATAGGCTGCATATGAGGTGTTCAGGAAACATCTGTAAATTGTAGTGTCATTTAATACGCAGATGTTAAGCAAGTGAGGAGCACAGCCTATACCTGGGTAATACGGATGATTTCAGACAACTTCAAGAAAAAGAATGATTACAAAATTAAAAGAAAGTTTAAAAAGTTAGTCTGGAGACCTGACTCATAGTGATGCCCCTGCAGAGAATTATCACCTAAATCTGCAGCTTTCATTGACTTTATAGCCAATTATAGTGAGTTTTGGCTAATTGTGCACCTGTTTACTTTGCAACATTTTGTCATTATTTTTGGCCACAGCAGATAGCCAAAAACAAACTGGTAAACAAAACATGCTAGCTGGCGGAGACCAAAAATGGAGCTAAAATAGAATATAAGACTATATCCAGACGATAGTACAGGACTTGCATGCATCATGTGGCCAGAAACAAACCTGAAAACGAATGATAATGTTGTTATGTATGCTGGATGTGTAAATGTGCTGTTTGATTTGATGTTAACATGAAAACTCATATGCTAATGTGTTCACAATCTGTTTCTGCTGCCGCCAAGTGTCCTAAAAGAATCTGATATTGCATGTTTCACAAAATCAGTTCACATGAGAAAACAATGAGTTGTATAATGAATACTTTTTCTTTTATTTCTTGTCAGTGTGTCTTGCCGGCTCATGTCCACCTGAAAGCGTTTGTCTTAATGGTACCTGCCAGTGTCTCTCTGGCAGCTTCCTGTTAGATGGACGTTGTACACCTGGTAAGAACATAAAAAAATACATATTTTATGGCTCTTCAGAAGAAAAAATGTCCTTGATATAAGAGAGATCATAATAAGGTGGTGGAAGTGAAATTGTTACCTTTATATTCTTTGTTTTTCTTCCTCTCCACTCAGCTCAAGTGTTTCCAGGCCAGCTTCATATCGTCTCCTTGCAATTTCAAAATGAAATGCGCAACAGGTCCTCGAGCGTGTTCCAGAAAACCGCGGCTGAGATCTCAGCAGTGGTAGGTCACAAGGTCACGAAGCATGTTGAATAGCTCTCATAGATGCTCCTTTGTTTGTCATTAAACCTTATTTATTCTATTTCATAGCTCGAACGTGCCCTCAGAAACCAGCCGGGGTACATACGCTCTGATGTTGTGCAGCTTGAGTGAGTGTTCTCCCTTTCTTCTGCTGTACAAAGACACCATGCCGCCTGTTACTAAAGATTTTTAGGGTCTGCTAATGCTTCTCTATGATTCTGCAGGCCAGGAAGTGTGCAAGCTACTGTGAATAATGTCTTTGGAACAACCAATGCAACTCAAGAGTCTGTTAATCAGGCCATTAATCAGGCTGCAGCTAACTCAGACGGACTTCTGAAGAATGCTACATTTACACGTAAGATACCTGTTGCATACTATACAAGTCGATGGAGTTAGTAGTACATCATTTATTATTCATTATTTCCAGGATGTTATTTTCTTATACATCTGTGTTATACTCACTCTGTCTTAGCTAAAAACCTGTGTGAGCAGCAGCCATTGCCTTGTGACGTCTCCTCTACAATGTGCACAAACACAAACGGCCGAGCTGTTTGTTCCTGTAAAGAGGGCTACATCTCCATCGTGTACTCAAACACCAGCTGCAGAGGTAAAACCGAGATTTAATATTCTTTTACAGCTCTTTTCCCCTCTGTACCCCAAATCCTGCCAAAATCAGTCAAATTATTCAGAGCTGCAAACTCAAAAAGAAAAAGAAAAAAAGAAAACTTCATCAAATTAGGATGTTTCATCAAAAGCACTTTATTCTACACCAAAAATAAACAGTTTGCTTTAATAATATTCTGTAAAAATCAAAAAATTCTGCACTCATCTGCAAAATTATTAGTGGCAAAAATTCAGGAACTTTTAGTCGAACTGCAGGATGTGTACACATCACAGATTGTAGACAAGTATGCAAACAAAGTAAAAATGTAGTAAAATATACACTATTGGTAACAGCTGTGGACATTTAGGTAAACGCTGCACATGTTGATTCCAGGTTTTTATCAGTTTTGTCCAATAAATCATCAAAGAAAGTCAATTTTTGTTTTTCCTTCCTTTACAAATCCATGTCATTGTAACTGTCACACTACACACAAGACATGTTTAGGTCCTCTCTACTTCTGTTCATGGTTGTGCTGTTTCCATAGAGGTGCAGGACTTCATGTCACAGTGACAAATGAGCCCACAGCGAGTGAAAATGTGAAAGGAGCATTAATAGATGCTTAGAAGCTGCTTGGGGTTCGGAGGGTTAAACAAAACTAGTGTTGTGTTTGAATGAGCAGATTACAACCCTTTTTTAAAAAAAAATTTAGCCTTTACAATGTTCTGCTGCCATAGCATTATACATCAGTAAAGCCTTACGTATGGGGCTGACAACCTGCAGCGTCTGAGAATAAGCTTGAGGGAAATTTTCCTTTGTGATCTACAGTCAAGAAAACAGCAACAAAACTTTCTTATCCTCTCTGGAATACGTCTGTGTGGGAATGAAGGAGAGAAACAACAGGGAGTAAGACTCACAGACAAGGTCAAGAGCTGTAGCCTTTTCTCCATACCGACCCTTGACCCTCACTTCATTTATCTCTCTAATTTATTTCTTTTTCACAAGGATGTTACCCTGGAAACACGTGGAAGAATCACAGCTTTGCCTCAATGTGTAGGGTTGTGACCAAGGAGATCAGCTATAGGAAGAGCTGTTAAAGAATAATAGCGTCATAGCTTCAGATAAACACCGCGTACAGTTCTCTTGTTTGCAATAGTCATCGCGCAGATTTCATGGGGAGGAGGAGGCTCTGTGTGCTCCTGTTTTCACTGCATGTCCAGCCAAGCGTAGCATACATTTCCTTCTACCGTGACTGAAACTGTAGCTTGTTATGTTCTCATTCTCAGTCCCTCTGTACAAAACATTGTGTTTCTTTTTCCAGCGTGTCCAAGTGGGCAGAGAGCAGTGGGAGATGCATGCCAACCGTGAGTACACACACTTTGTTTTCTGTTTACAGGGCAGGTTTTGCATGTGTTATCAGCACCTGGTATGTAAATATGTTTCGGGGACATGTTGATTAGACGTTATAGGCTCCGCCGTGTTGATTCAGTGTTAAACTCCATTAACCCTCGCAACCTCAAAACCTGCTTCCTATTTAAAAGGCATTGTTTTTTTAACTGGTCATGTGAGAAATTTAGTTCTGTCAAAAAAAAAAAAAAAATGCCACAAATAAACTGCATCTGTAATGAAACAAATCCATCCATCCATTATCTATACTCCGCTTAATCCTCACTAGGGTCATGGGGGGCAGGAGTCTACCCCAGCTGACTCAGGGTGAAGGCAGGGGACACCCTGGACAGGTCACCAGTCTATCACAGGGCCACACTTAGAGACAGACAACCAAGCACACTCACATTCACACCTACGGACAATTTAGAATCACCAATTGACCTCAACATGTTTTTGGACTGTGTGGGAGGAAGCCGGAGAGAACCCACGCTGCACGGGGAGAACATGCAAACTCTAATGAAATGAATGAATAATTAAATAAAATTTTGCACTGTTCAATGCAACAGAAAACCAAATGAGGTACTCAACAGTCATGTCACGAAAATTCTGTTATTACTGGGCTGAACTTGCCGGGTGACTTTACACAGAGCAGGCAGAAGTATGGAAATTAGAGACACTGAGAGGAGGGAAAAAAACAAAACATGATCAATAAAACAAATGCAGCATGACTCAAAAGATGAGGAGCAAGCTGCTGGGAGATACATTCTGCATGGTAAAATATCTGTCTAGAGTAGTGTGAAAAATGCAGCGTTTGTAGAAGTTGTAAAAATGTAAATGGTAATCTATAGTATGTAGAGCCACCTTTTTCTCCAGTGTTGGGAAAATCACCAAAATTACAGCTTTTATCAGAGTCAGTCAGTGTAAAAACAGAAGGAGTCCATTTCAGTTACATGACCTAACTTCACTGACTTTTTTTTATCTGATCTGCAAGCAGTGTTTACACGGAGCAGATAGGAGACAAGAATGACAAGTAATTAATAATATCTATGGCACTCCTTCTTCGTGCTTGTGCTGTTTCAATAGAGGTGCAGAACTTTAGATTACAATGAAAAATGAGCCCACAGTGAGTAAAAATCTGAGATGCTGCTTGGGATTCAGAGGGTTAAACTGATACAGTACAGTCTTAAAATGTGAATCTCCCTGTGTTTTCCTTCAGATGTGCGTTTGGGTATGCCGGCTTCAACTGCAATGACTGTAAGTAGCAACACTATTTCTGAAGTACGATGATGTAGCAGCAGAAGCCACATGTTAGGACTCATAAACCTGAATATGTCTACTACTGTGTGTTGACAGCGGCTCTGCTGGCAGTCGTGGTCATCTCCTGTGTGCTGGGAGGAACTCTGCTCATCCTCATCCTGGCTCTGCTCATATTCTGCTGCTGGTGAGAATATTAAAGATCATGAATCCTTTTAACATTACCAACAGTAGTGCAGCTATCCTATTATTTATACTGTTTTGCAGAAAATGAACAATAGAACAGCTTTGCATGTTAAAACTCCCAGCCACTGAACCCATGTAAATATGGTTTTGGTCATTTACAGCTCAAAAACACATAATAATGGGGCTAAAAACAAGCCTTTATATCAGTGGGTATTTAAGACAAATCAGAGGATTCCCTGGGTTTCCTGTGAGCAAGCCTTGTTTTTATTTATGTTTCTATGTGTATTGTTATTTTTGCTATTATTTGTAAAAAATAAAAATAAAAAAAATAATAAAAAAAATATTTTTATTCCATTTGATTTTAAACAGACACTAATATACAGTCTTATAATTTTTATTTTTTTTAAAAACAAGAATCTGTCATTTTTAACTTTTGGGGGCTTATTTTCAACCTTCATATTTAGTGTTTTGCTCAATATTTAAAGCAACAGGATGATGCATATGGGATTAATTTACAGTAAACTATAATGCACTAAAGGCTCCAGGTAAACACACAGTGATCAATTCCATCATCATTACCAAAAATTATATTATTAACTACCAGAGATTGTCTACTTTTTGAACATCAGGACGAGATGCTCGGAGAACAAAAGCGACTTCAGCAGCAGCAGTCCATATTCATCCAACGACGTAAACCAGCCGTGGCCGACCGGCGTCACCCCGATCCCTCGAGCCACCTCCAACTGGGACGCAGCTGCTCCCATAGAGATGACAGAAGGGGGCAGCACTCATGCTCTGGTGGACAAAAAGCCACAAAGCAACGGACTGGTGAGTTATTGCGGTTGTTCTTCTGTCGCCTCACCAATCGTCCTCACACAGACTCACAGTGTTTCACCCACTGAATCAGCCTGTAGTTTGTTCAGTGTCGTCCCATCATCCTGCACTTGCTTATTAACCCACTCAGCAAACATGGATTTGACCGTTTGCAGGTGAAAAATATATTTAGCTTTAGGTTAAAATCTGGCTGAATTAGGTTAAAAAGTAAAAGTTTTTTAAAAGAATATTCAACAATGTGCAAGTTTGACTTGCTTGTCTGCCAAATTTAGCTGTTTTTACCAAACACAACTCGATTTTTTTGACCTGCAAATCCACTTCTCCATGGTCACTGGGCACAAAACCTTCCAGAGACAGATTAGACGTGTTGATGATATATTTTGAATGCATATGTTTAACCCAATCATCTAGAAATGAAACAAACTTACTGAAACGTAGCCCCCTTCCATGCTTCCTGCTTTGCCTGACTCCTAGTGTGTTGCTTTAGGGGTTTCAGCTGAAGGCGAAAGGAATGAAAAAGGTAAGGTATAGTTTTGCTTTCACATCCTGATTTGCCTTGATGTACCCCCTGCTGATGATTTAGACAGGCCTCAGGAGGAATAAAGGTGATGGTGTTTCCAGGTGATGGGAAGCTTCACAACAGATCTCTGATTGTTGTGGAAAGCAGTGCGCTTTCATCTAAACGCTCAATCTAGTGAGTGACAATTCAAAGAAACTCATCTGATGGTTAGTTTGGGAGTAGTCACAAGTAGTTTTCAGTCTGCCTTGGTAACTGGGGTTAACCCTCTGAACCACAAGGAGTTTTTAGGCGTTTTTCACTCCGGTAACGTTTTTATTCACTGTGGAAACTCACTCTATGGAAACAGAACAGCCATGGTTATCATAAAAGAAAAAAAGCTTAGCTTCTTTTGATATTTAATATATACATTTTCTTTTAATTGTTAAAAAATGAGAAAAACTTGGAATCAACATGTGCAACATTTTTCCAAGTGCCCGCAGGTATTACAGTACAAAGACAGTGGCCCAAATATATTTCTGCTTCCATTTTTAATCTGTTTCCATAACACCGCCTCCAGTTCAGCTGAAACATCCCTAAATGTTTGTCACATGACTGTTGGTTAAAGCTGAGTGACTTATAACTTCACAGCTGTGCAGAGCAGCACAGAATTTTTTTTAGTTTGACAGAATCTGATCAGAGCAAACTGTTTATTTTGGGGAAATTTTTAAGTGAGACATGTAGAATAAAGGGATTTATTAAGCTAGAAAAAACTGAAAAAATGTCAGTTTTTCAACTTTCTGATGATCCTCAAGCTACCATCTCACCTCTCATGTGAGAGTTTCATCAGGAAAATTTAACAAATCTAAGCTTAAAATTGGGATATTTCACCAACATCACTTAGATCAATATATCTAAAAAAAAAAAAAAAGTTGCCGTAAAAAGCCAAACATTCTGCTTCTTCATGCAGCTAAAAGTAAAACAGCCAACAGTCGTGTCACAAAAATGTAATGATGATTCAGCTGAATTTGCCAACTGCGTTTACACAGAGCGGATACAAGACAGTTATGGAAACATAGAGATTATTATAAAGTTCTAAAATAAATGAAATTCAGCTTTTCTTTCTTCATGGTTGTGCTGTTTCTATAGAGGTGCACGACTTTATATTGCAGTAAAAAATGAGCCCACTGTGAGTGAAAATGTGGCAGGAGCAAATAAAATGCACAGAAATTACTAGGGACATGTAAAATAAAGTGATTTTGATAAAAGTTTGGGGTTCAGAGGATGAATGTGTGTTTTTTGTGAGCTTTTTTTTTTTTTTTTTTTAATGTGTGAAGTGTGAAGCTCTTGCTCCTAAAAGAAACTAACACACCTCTCCTGACATTTCAGTCGGGATCGTACGATCTCAACACAGATGGAATGAAGACGTTCAAGGGTAGAAACCCATCCCGTTACTCGTATCTGGTCCAAGGCCACGAGAACCCGTACTTCTTACCAGGAGACGAGAGGAAAAACTGAAAATCACAAAGAAGTGGGGGATCAAAAAAGAAGTCACTGGTTTGGACATTTGCTGAGCAGGACTGTTTTATTTACGATATTTGCTTGGATTAATCACAAAGGACAAGAAGAGATCGGCAACCAAAGAGAGTCCTTTCTTTATACAAGCAAGAACATTTTTAAAATGCCTGCTTTTAATGATTATAACCAGTAGATGTCACTGTTGCTCTGTAAAGTTAGTACAATAGTTTTTTTTTTTAAGGCTACATTTGACCTCTGATATTTGTCTTTTGTTTTTTTTTTTGTCCTTTTTTATGCTTTAAAGAAATCATTCTGTAGACTTTTAAAATGAAGACTCTTACATTACTAATTGCACTAAAGTGTGTGTTACGTTTACCACAGGTTTGTCTCTGAAATCAAAAGGTAAATTGAATGTGGGGCTTTCTGCGGCTACTAACTATTATTTTCTTGAGAGTGTGATTATTTTCTAGAAAAACAAATGTTGAAGTGACTAAAGGGGCTGGATCCCTGGTTGGGAGTGTTTTTTTTAAAGGGATTTTATTGTAGCAGTCTACAGCTGAGAACTCTGTGTTTGTTGAAGCTGCACTTGCAGAAATGTGCCTGTTTTAATGGTCGCTCTGACTAAAAGGAAACATTATGCAAAGCTGCTGAAGAAGCCTGTCTCTCGGATGTGCCAATTATCTCTTGTATACAGATTCTTGAAGATTATATATATATATATCTTGAGTGTCTGAGACAGTGCACTATTTTTTAAGTGTGTAAAAGTTTTGTAAATAATTGAGGATCTCTTGGGAGAGAATGTGTGCGTGTATGCTGTGGAAATAAATTAATTTAAATGCAACAGACTTGTTTTTCTATCATTGTTTAGACAGCTGTATCACCTAATTTACTTTTTTTTTTGGTTTGCTGACCTTGTGCAAACTGTGCGGTACAGTGCTACAGGACTAATATGCTGCAAGAAAAGCAGTTTGAAGCTCAAACAACAAATTAAATATCCGCTGGGTACTTGATGACTTTTCTAATGAGAATATCTTGTAAACTGGACCTTAAAACTGATGAAACTACAGAAAAATTACATTTATGGTTTGTGGTCTCTGCTGCATAAATAACATTAGACTATGACCCAACTACTGCTACTACTACTCCCACTTGTTTGTTCTTTGTGCACAATAGTAAAGGTAAGTATGTCTTTTTGAATATTTTCCAAATAAGCAAATAATAGTAACAAAGCGCATCTTACAGCATATTCAGTCAGTATAATTTTGTTTCCAGTGTTTATGTGTTTGGTAAGTGCTATCCTCTGCCAGGGAGGTTATGTTTTAGCCGGTGTTCATCTCTTTGTTTGTTTGCAAGATAAGTAATGATGAAGAAAATTTCACGACATTTTCAGGAAATGTTGATAATGGCACAATGAACAGATGATGACATTTTGGTGATGTTGTGGCTTTACTGTCTGGTTATTTTCTCATAAAACAGCAAATGTTGGTAAGTGTCACAGTTGTGCAGAATGCTGCCGTTGCGCCGTTTGTCCACTAGATGGAGCTCTGCCTCCATTCAGTCCTCAGCGCTGTCTTCTCAGTAGTACATGAAGAAGCCACAGCCAGGCAGCATCACAGGAGCGGGCTGAGCGGAGCTACTGACAGATAAGTTCATAACAACGTTGTGACATTAACAATGACTCAACATGTCTCCTGTTTCACTTTAACTCTCTTTGCCATGTGTCATGACGACTGGCGCGTGCTTCGTTGAGTCAGTCATACGTTTCATTTACATTGCATTGCTATAGTTGTGCTAACCTAGCTTAAAGTAGTCTATGATAGCAATAGCATCGCTGTTGTTATGCCAACCTAGCTAACTGTTAGCTAACAGCTTAAAGCCAGTAAGGAACTGCAGAAATAACGTAAGTGTACAAAATATTTGACAGTACAGAACGACTGTTCATCACTCTGTCAGCTTGTTATTAATGATATCAATGTTTATTCAAATGCTAAAGGTATGGTCTGATTCTCCATGAATCTAATAGTGTTGATAAAATTAATACAGGACTTTAACATTGGCTGGAAATCACAATATGCTGGAAATGAGCTGCTTGACGAAGGTCTGCGCTCTCCGAGTGTTCTTCTGGTTTAGAATGTAATTAACATGATTTACAGATTGGTTTTATGCATAAAATAAACAAATGATCTCTTTTGCAACTATCCTGTGGGCTACAATCTTTAAATTATAACGCTCTTGAATGAAAGCAACTTTTTTTCCAGATCCATTAATAACATTTCAGACACTGTAATCACTTTTTTACGTGTGGAAAACTGCATTATATTAGAGTAGAATAGAATAAAAAAAAAATAAATAAAAAAAAAATTGTTGAATTATTATTATTAGATGAATTGGTCCTTTAAAACTGTTTCCTTCTGTAAAAACAATTGACTTGGTTACAATTTAGGTCACAGAGCAGGTAAAATAATGCAGCGACACGAGGGCAGCAGTTTTTGGCAGATGATCACTTTCTAGACGTTTTAAGTTCTGAAAATGTTGTGGAAAAGTTTTGCAAAGTTCTGGCCAAGTTTTCTTTGTAGTTCCCAAAATATTCTGCTCAAAGGCAGAATAAAGTTCTCTAAAGATGCTTTAGAAATGTTCTGGTAACTTTCCGAATGTTGCATGAGAATGTCCTTGCTTTGTTATCATGAAACAAATGTTACAGAAGAACGTTCTCAGCAGCAACATCCCCAAAACATCCTCAGAACACTGCAGGCAAAATGTTCCACCTTTGTTGACATATGACGTTTTTAAACGTTTTTTTGCTTTGAAAATCATGTGACAATTTCACAACATCCACCAAATATCCTGTGAATGCTTAAAAGTTCCGTCCTAGTTCACTTTTAACTTAATAGAAACTTTTTTTTAAAAGTAATAAATATCCTTAAAACTTTCTTTGAACATTAAATTCAAGTGTTTTCTTTCGAACGCACTTATCGTAGGTTGTGTTAGCCAACGTTGCGGGAACGTTCACCGCTTTGTGGGGTGTTTCCTGATCAAATCATGGCTTATATGAAACAAAGTCAGTGCATCCGGCAGAAACTTGAATATTCAGCTGCACTTCATTACAATAATGGAAATCGAGATATTTTCTTTCTATAATATTATTATGAGTAAAAAAAAAAAAAAAAAAAGCTTTAACCCCCTGAAAACAAAAGAAAAAAAGAAAAAAATCAATATCCTATATGGAGATCTCGGCCTCTGGATGGCGCTAAAGCACTTACAACACATTACAGCTGATCAATAACAAACTACTTCAATTTGTTGCTCTCTGCTCTGGGGATGTGAGGATAACCAGGCAAGGGTATGTTTGCTGTGTGTGTGTGTGTGTGTGTGTGTGTGTGTGTGTGTACACGTACTGCAGGCACCACACACACACACACACACATATCCAGAACAATTACTAATCTGTAAATAGATCTGTATTGCTGTGATATCTCTGCCGAACAAGATCTGCCTCGCTTTGTCTCGCCTTCTCTTCTTCTTCTGTTTCTTCTTCTGTTTCTTCTTCTTCTTCTTCTTCTTCTTCTTTGTGACATCAAGAATTTTATTTAAACACTGAACAGCTCTGAGGAATGAAAACTAGATTAAGGCAATGAATAAACGCTTGAATTAGCTACAAGTAAGAACAGAAAGTTATGCATTACTTAGCTTAAACTAATAATCAGTTGGCTCAAAATAATAGATAATTGTTTAATTAGAACCTAAAGTTAACCAGCTAAAAAGAACGCATACATGAAAGTAAATGTAATGGATTTAATAGCTAGCAAACTGGCAGTAATAAAGAAATGGTTAGCCAAAGCTAATAAACCGCTAGCTGAAAATTAATAGAAGTGTCAGATGAATTGTTTGGTAAAACTAATAATTAATGAGTTTAAAGTAAAAGATAAGCTGTTAGCCAGAATTAACGAAGATGATAAATGGTTAACTAAGGCTTATAAATAGCTAGTTGAAATTATTGGAATAAATAGTTATGTAAAACTAATTAATAGCTCGATGAAAATAACAGGTAAACGGTCAGCAACTCTAATAACTGTCGAATTGATAAAACGTTATCTAAAAGGAATAATTAGCAAACTGAAAATAATGAACAAATGGTTAGCTGCAGGTAACTCACTGGAAACACTTTTTCGCATTTTTTTTTTAACACATTTGGAACAAGCCCATCCGATCCACCTGTGTAGGTCTGCCAGGAAAGGTTCAGAATCACCGTCTTTCATCGCCCTCCGTCCTTTCCTCTAAACCCTGAACACATCCCACAGCCATGGAAAAGCTTCTTACTTTAAGCCCTGAAATCATATGCAAAGTTCAGCGTTTAATTAACAGTATTGCTTTGCAATCATTACCACTGTCATTTCAGTGGAATAATAAATGTGTCCTGGTGCAGTTCATTATTCATAGCTGCAGAGGGTTTGGACCTAATTGAATGGCTACATGAATCACAGTGTTATTTTATTCCTGGAGTGGGGTTGATGTTGACTGTGCACTTTACCCAGAAATCTCCGTCTCCCTGGCTGTTGTGCAGCACTCCGTCACCAAGAGTGAAGAGCTGTTTGAAAGCCTCAAGTTTTATGCCGGTGTTTGTGTGAAACTTGGCTACCAGTGTGTTGCTGTGGTGTTACAGTCCAGGAGTCAGCTCCTCAAGGGCTCTTTAGAAACTGGGATTTGGTTTGCTGGTAGCTGAATCTGGTTTTGCCAGGCCTTAATCTTGGGCAGTGGGTCGCTGGAACGGACTGTGACTGGCGGTACAGGAGGACAAATCAGATGTTGTGTGTTGATTTGTGCTTATCATACATAGAGGAAAAATTGTGTGCAGCATCCTGATATGTAGCTTGATAGCAATGCCGGTTAAAAGGTTTGATTTTAGCTAATCTGAGATGAAAATAATGCACATGAAGCAAGAAGGAGGGACTGTGAGCTGAAAAATAATGAAGATAATTCATATATACATAGGATAGGATGTTTCTGCTTGCAGAGATGTCCCTTGCTCTCAGTGTTGCAGTTGTGCTTAAGGCCTGCAGATGCTGTCGGTGCTGACTATGAACAATAAAGATAACTGGCCAAAATGTAACACACAAGTTCTTGAAATAAATTTGAATCCTTAATTGTATTAACAGGAATTTAAGTTCTCAAAAGCGCTTACAATAACAGCAGAACCTACGCAAACTGTGGCTTTTATCTTCTGGCCTCTTCATCTTCTGATGTTAGCCTTAATTGAGATGAATGCATTTTGTCAGAAGTGTTCATTCAGGCAGATATTGTTTTGCTCACAATTTCAGCCCATGCAGCAGCAGCAAGTCATCCTAATCATATATATCAGTTATTAGGTGACTGGCTGAGCTGCTGTCTAGAGTGAAGTAGTGGCTTTGGGAACAAATTTACCAAAAGTCTACCTTAAGGAGGAAGACAAATTTATTGCTAACGCTGGATAAAGCCTTTTATCTTGTTACGTTTACCTTTAGTGTTCATCAGTGGGAAATGGGCAAATATTATTACCTTCAGTGTTTGAGATTTTTAAAAAAAAAGTCTGTATTTCAAAATGTCCAGGGCAATTTGAAGACAGTGTGTAAGAGCTGCCCATTGATATGACTTATACTCTTCTTTGTATTGAACATCTCTCTCTGAGCCCGGCCAGTGGTTCCTCTCGTCTGTGCAGGAATGTTTCGTATTTTGTAGCCATTACCAGCCTGCCAAGTCCTGGCTCTGTCTGCTGCAGCACATCCCGTCAGCCCACCGGCTCGGCCGGCTGATCGATAGACCACTTAGCGGCCGTGAGCTACACATTCCAGTCATTTGACCTGCTGA